CAGGTGCCGCTGGCAGCGGGCTCTTCCGCGGCAGCCCACGCTCTGACTCAGCAGCCCCTGGTGTTTTGCTTTGCTGATCTGCTCTGCTCAGCTGGGTTGGGAGTGGAGATCGAGTGATGCCGGGCCGGGCAGTGGTGGACTGTGGGGATGCTGCTCCCCGTGCGGCAGAGGCACTGGGGCTCCCGGTCACACCCTGCAGGGCTCTGGGGCAATGGCTGCGGGGCCGGTGCCAGCAGCAGCCAGGGCTGATGCTTCCCCTGCTGCAGCATCGCTCGTCTGCCAAAGGAAGGAGCCAGTGGGCACTGGCCCGTGGCCTGTGGCCCGGGATGGCCAAGATGTGCCTGAGGCGGGTGCGGGCTGTGAGCCAGCTATCGATCCTCCTCTGCCTTGGGCACATTTCATTCCCCGTGTCATTTCTTTAAAAGCATGGTGCTGGCTGCCAAGCCTCCCAAGGCTTCTGCATCATTCGCACCCACCTTGCCGGAGCCCTGGTAGGAGCGGGCGGCAGACCTGGGGGTGACAGCAGAGCCCCCCGGCTGCGGCTGGTCCCCTGTGGTCGCGCCGGCTGCCAGTGCCACCCCTGGGAGCACCCCCAGGTGGGAGCATGCTCCATTCCCGTGCGGTTTGGCTTGGTTGGTCCCAGCTGGGCTGTTGCCGTGAGGTATGGACCCTCTTGTGCACCCACCACCACTGCGCTTTTTGGAATGGCAGGCTGGGAACACGAGTCAGCTCAGTGACACACTTCGTGCCTGCAGGGACAGTGATGGAGCAGGAACCTAACTTGGATCTGCCCTAGTGCTGGCCTTGCCCCTCCCCATCTCCCTCCCCATCCCCATCTCCATCCCCATTGCCATCTCTTACTCTTCCTCCCACCCTTCACCATCCTCTGGGCATCCCAATCACTGTCCCTCCTGCCCGGCCTCAGCACCTTCTGGCTTGGGCATGGCACAGTCAGGGTTTCCATGTGGCCTCTGCTCTCCTGAGGTGTCTCCATCAGCATCCTTGGTGGGTGGGAGCCAGGGCTGGGGGCTCACGCACTTGGGCTTGCTGCAGGTTTCTGGAAGGCCACCTGCCCCTCAACCTGCTCCAGCCCTCTCCTCGCCTTCGTCAACTCCAAGAGCGGGGACAACCAGGGTGTTAAGTTTCTGCGCAAGTTCAAGCAGTTCCTCAACCCAGCCCAAGTCTTTGACCTCATGAATGGTGGCCCGCACCTGGGGTAAGCACTGACCTGGGCGCCGCGGGGTGGCCCCGGCGGGATCCCGGCACAGCCCCCAGCCCCTCTCTCCTGTCCCCCCGCCAGGCTGCGCCTCTTCCAGAAGTTCTCCACCTTCCGGATCCTGGTGTGTGGGGGGGACGGCAGCGTGGGCTGGGTGCTCTCTGAGATCGATGCTCTTGGTCTCCACAAGCAGGTGAGTGAGAGCACCTGATGCCGCCGGCGTGGGCTGGCAGCGTCCCCAGCACCAGCACTGGCACCCGCCGCAGCAGGGACCCACCCCGCATGTCCCGGGGTGCTGCGAGCGATGGGCACAGCGGGGCTGGGGGTGTTGCTGCTCTGAGTCCCCGCCCCCATCCCTCTCCCGCAGTGCCAGCTGGGCGTCCTGCCCCTGGGGACCGGCAATGACCTGGCACGAGTGCTGGGCTGGGCCAGCCTGTGCGACGATGACACCCAGCTGCTGCAGATCCTGGAGAAGCTGGAAAGGGCCACCACCAAGATGCTGGACCGGTGAGCATGGCACGGGGCACAAGCCTCTCTGCCCACCCCCCGCCAGCCACCTCTAAGGCAGCCTGTTCTCATCCTCTGCCCACGTGTCCCCGTGCTGGGGTGCCTGGAGGGGGCAGGCAGCCATGGTCTCTGCATGGCAGGTGGAGTGTGCTGACCTACGAGGCCCCCAAGCAGTCCCCCCCTGCCCTGAAGGACGAGGAGAATGGGGAATCCAACATCCAGGTGGGCACTGTTGGGGACTGAGGGCTTGAGATGGGGGCGGACAGGCTGGTGGCCCAGTCTCCATTCACCCCATCAGCTGGTTGGGGGGCACGCAGGGTGGGATCGTGCAGGGGGTGTGTGGGGACTGGGGCTGTGAGGGGGCTGGCAGCTGGCTGCGTGCGATGCAATGAGTCTGGCAGGTCTCAGCCCGGCACGTGCACTTGGGAGCCGGCCCTTGCCTCAGTTTCCCTCCTGCTGTGGCTGAGCATCCCCTCTGCCCGGCGGCATGGGCATGGCCCCCCTCGGGGCTGGGGCAGTGGGCCGAGGAGGGATCTTCATCCCCGGCCCAGGGCTGGCCGGGCAAGGCTCCATGCTGGAGTGGGGCACCTGGGGGGTGTCACGGCACCAGCTGTCCTCCCCTGTCCTCCCCAGGCCCAGATCTCCCACTATGCCGACTCTGTTGCCTTCCACCTGGCCAAGATCCTGGAGTCGGACAAGCACTCGGTGGTGATCTCATCTGCAAAGTAAGGGGGCAGCTGGCCATGGGGGTGCCGGAGCCCCTCTGCCGGGTGGGGGGCATGTCCCCAGGAGCGCTGAGCACCCCCCGGCCAGGGTGTCCCCTCTCTGCCCGCCAGCGGCTGCCAGCTGTGCTGATGCCTGGCAGATAACCCCGGCACTGCCGCCCTGGTGCCAGAGGCCGTTATCCCAGCACCCCCCCCGGCTGGCATCAGCGCCCGGCTGGTCTTCACCTGCCTGCTGCTTCCCTCCACAGGTTCCTCTGTGGCACTGTCAACGACTTCGTTGCTGAAGTTGGCCGGGCTTACAAGAGGGCAACGGAGAACAAGCAGGAGGCTGAGCTGATGGCACGGAAGGTGGGATGCTGGGGGGACTGGGGTGTGCTGGATGGGTGGCACAGCCCCTGGGCAGGGGAGAGATGGCGGGGTCTGTGCCGGTGGCCCACGCGTGCACCAAGGTGCCCTGTGCTTGGGCTACCCGGGCCCTTGAGGTGTCCAGGCAAACACAGGGTGTCGAGGCAAAGACGGGGTGCCCTTGTGCTGGGGATGTCCAGGCAAGCACGGGGTGCCCAGGGAAGCACCCAGCTCTGGCAGTGGGTGCTGAGTGTGGTGAGTGTCCTGCAGTGTGCCATGCTGAACGAGAAGCTGGACTCGCTGGTGCGGGAGCTGAACGAGGAGGCTCAGGCCATCGTGGTCCCCGAGGGAATGGCACAGGCCACCCCTGCTGACACCAAGGACCAGGAGAAAGGTGGCAGCTTCAACCCCAGCCCCATGCCTCGCATCTTCAAATCCAAGGAGCAGCTCATGCTGCGGGCGAACAGCCTGAAGAAAGCCCTGCGACAAATCATCGAGCAGGCGGAGAAAGGTGAGGGGGTTGCGGGGGCTGGCAGCTTGCGTGGTGCTGCAGCAGCCTGGCACGGGCTGCAGAGCCACCACAGCTTGGTGCTGGACCTGTGCCTTGGTTTCCCCATTTCATTCCTTGGGGTGGCAGCGGTGCTGTGGGTACCAGCCTTTCTCTGATGTGCGGTGTGGCTGAGGGAGGTCCCCAGTGCAGGGCAGAGGTGCCACCCTGGGCAGTGCCTGGCACGAGCCCACAAGGCTGATGCAGGGAGGGGGCACAGGGCCACGGGGCTGCCCAGGACACACTGTCATGCCTCTCTTTGCATCCAGCTGTGGATGAGCAGAACAAGCAGACCCAAGCCTACCGGGGCAGCGCGGGCCCAAGCAGGAAGGACAGCTCGGAGGAGCTCAACAAGGAGGAGGAGAGGCTCAGTAAGCTGCTAATGGGGCACATAGCTTTTTGGGGGGGCATGGGGCTAAGCTGTGGGATGGGCTAAGGGTAATAGCCAATTCAGCAGCTGCCTCCTTTCCCCATTGTCCAGGCTCCCGGCAGGAGACAGTGACCTCTGCGTCTTCCTCCATCATCCTAGACCGGCCAGACACCTTCGGCAGCTTGCAGTTCCCCGAAGACCCCAGCACCCTGTGAGTCTGGGGTCCTGCCTGCCCTGGGGTCCCTGACGCACCCTTGCTGACCATCACGGAGCAGGAGCAGAGCTGGGACCACGCTGCCTCTTGGAGATGGTGGCTGGGGCATCCTCTGCCCACCAGCGTGGCATCCCTGGTGCCCAGCCCTTCCTGGCCTGGCCATGCTGGCGGAGCCTGCATGTGCCTGGTGCAGGACCTGTGGCTGCCAGCCCCTTGGCCAGCACTGTGCTCACGCAGTGAGCTGGGGGCTCCCCCCCTGCCCAGTGCGGGCAGGTCCCGGCTGCACCACAGGTGTCCCACCACGGGGACTGAGGGGGCTGCAGTCAGCCCTGCCGGCTTCCCAGCGCCAGCCCCTCTGGGGGCTGACACCGAAGCTCCGGCGGGTTTCATACCCCATCCCCTGGTTCCAGCCCAGCAGTTGCCCGCATGCAGCTGCCTCCCAATTTGCCCTCCCTGTCTGCTGCTTTCAGCCTCTTCTCGGAGAAATGCGTCATGAATAACTACTTTGGCATCGGCCTGGATGCGAAGATCTCCCTGGAGTTCAACAACAAACGGGATGAGCACCCCAAGAAGTGCAGGTTGGCTGAATTCCACC